AGGGACACATAGACATCAATTGTTTGCCTTCTGTATGTGCCCTGACCAGGGATCGAAGTGGCCACCTTTTGATGCACAGGACAATGCTCAACCCACTGAGCCACTGTAGCTGGGCAGGGATCCGTTTATTCAGTGGGGGCATGCAGGCACCCGTGCTTCTGGTAGGGCTTCCACCTTCACGTGGGGACTTGTCCAGAATCTGATTGCTGCTAACATGCATGTCTGCTCTATGAAAGAACTCTAGATAGATAACCCACAAATTGTTTACAGTTAACTTTGAAATGAGGTTAAGAAGTACATGTTCGCCATAGATGTTTAGGTAAATGCTAAATCGATTCTTTCTTCCACAAATGAGTGTGTATGGTTCAGAGCCTTAATCCTGTTGACCTGTGGGAGCAGCCGTGGATCTGGTGCTGGGTCAGAGGTGGAGGTGGCAGATTTGTGTTTCCTCTGAAGATAAGGTAGAGACTCTCTTTCTTTATTTCAGGAAAGTAAATGGAAAGATTGATAATAAGTTGGATAACCAAGGGGGAAAGTTCTCTCTTGTGATTTCTTGTTAACAGATTTAGTAATAATTAGTTCTTTCAGTTACACTTCCCTTTGCAAGAGAGGACTGGTGGGGAAGGGCAGGCTTTTGGGCCTGGGGTCCTAACAGTTCTTTATGTCATGGCCACTTCCCAGTATGAACTGATGGAAACCTGCATTTTGAAGTTCCATGGAAAGCATTTTGCAAACTGATGTTTAAGTTCCTCACTGATGTTAGGAGGAGTGACCTGAATTTCCAATTCATATATCAGAATTCTCTGGTAGGAAGGAGAAACTTTATGCAGCTTCATTTTTAAATGGCAGCCAGTTGCTTTTAGATGGTGCCATTGAAATATATCACATTTTAATTTTTTTCTGTTGTCATCTTCATTTTGACACTTTAAAAGTCTTAAAGAAACGTTTAGTGATATTCTAGTTAAAATGTCAGCCCTGATTTTTTCCCTAAATCTTGGCTATTATAGAGTTGGCAAAGTATTTTAGATTTGAAATATGTTAATAAAATTTTAGTTGTGAGTTAAGGTAGTTTCTTCAACAGCAACAGTGAGCTTTGGCTAGAGTGCGATGCAAGAAAGTAGCTCCTTTATTTTGTTGTTATGGAATCTTGCTGGATTAGAAAGGTCTGAGCTGAGCTCAGAGAGCCTTCGTGGTAGTGAGGCTTTTATTATAATAGCCTGATTTTATAGGCTGATTCTCATTATTATAAGTTTAATAAATTATTGCCTGAAGGAAAGACTGAAATTAAAGTTAGTATGACACAGGCTGAAGTTGAATAAATTAGAATTTTATACTGATGAATAATAAGCTTGGATTTGTGTTAGGAAAACCCCTTTCAAACCTGAATTATATTAATGAGCTATTCTAAAAGTTAGCCTTTGGAGAGTAACTTTACTAAAATTCTTCCCCTTGAATTTCCATTTCTTTGTTTCTTACCCCGAGTCTCTTACTCCTGCTG